TTTGCTTATTGAAGCCTGCTGGGAAGGTCACAAATGGTGACCCAGGGACACTGCAACCATCCTAAATACATGCCAGTTGCCAAGTGTCCAATGTTGATCCCATGACTATGGGGAAGCTGCTATGATGTTTGTAAGCACGAAGACCAGCTGTAAGTCACTTTTTTCGGTGCCATTGTAACTTTGAGTGGTTGCTAAATGAACAGTTGTAAGCAGAGAACTGTCTGTAATTGACATTTAAATAATAGCGGTATTTAATGATGGTGGTAAGGAAGGGAGGTTTATTTGGTTTGGGTCTAGCACAGGGGTGTCAAACTCCATTTCATTGAGGGCTGCATCAGGGTTGTGTTTGGGCTGGGGGTGGGCGTGACCATGGTGGGTGTGGCCCAGAGGTGGTGTTCAGCAGTTCTGACCAGTTCTGAGGAACTGGTAATGGAAATTTTGAGTAGTTTGGAGAACCGGTAAATCCCACCTCTGACTGGCCCCACCCCCATTTATTCTCTGCCTCCCGAGTCCCAGCTGATCGGCTGGGTCTTCTTTGGTTGCCCTGCACAGGAGAACGGAGCTGAAAAGCAGGTTAGTGGGGTGGGGCAGGAATGGAATTTTGCAGTAACCTTCCCCCAGGAGTGGGGAGGGAATGGGATTTTGCAGTAACCTTCCCCTGTCACGCCCACCAAGCCACACCCACCAAGCCACGTCCACAAAGCCACGCCCACAGAACCGGTAGTAAAAAAAAATGAATCCCACCACTGGTGTGGCCAGCTCAACATCACTTGAGTCTGGAGGGGGGACTTGTGGTGGCCAAGTGCTAAGGCAGGACTACCCTGAGACCCTCCCTCACTCTCATTATAATCTTCCTTCCTTCCTTCCTTCCTTCCTTCCTTCCTTCCTTCCTTCCTTCCTTCCTTCCTTCCTTCTTTTTCCTTCCTTCTTCCTTCTTCTTTCTTCTTCCTTCCCCTCTTTCCTTATTTTTCCTTCCTTGCTCTCTTCCCATCTTCTTTTTTTTCCTTTGCCTTTCCTCTTTCCCTTTCTCCTTTCCTGTCCCTTCTTGTATGCTCAAATGCAAAAGGGAAAATATTTTTCCTTTTGTTTTTAGTTAGTTTTGATAGCCTTCTGCCAGTGAAAACGGAGCTTGGGTGGGGAGTCCTTCGCTGTTTGCAGGGTGGCCCCGTGGACCGGATCTAATCATCCTGCAGGTCAGATCCAGCCTGTGGGCTTTTGACACCCCTGGTCTAGCACAATAGTTCTCACCTGGCGTTCTCTGGAAAGCTAGGATCTCATGAGTTATAACGATTGGAAAAAAAAAAACTTTTTGTCCTTAAAAAAAAAGAATTATACATTATGTAAAGCTGACACCCACACCGGTGGGAGTTTTCTGCATGCTGCTGCTACTAAGATGCCAGCCTGGCACATTGTTGTTATTGTAAATTACATAAGATGTAGATTGTGAAGATTTAACAGTGAATTGCATTGTGCAAAGGGTTTGTATTTGCGCATTACTTAAATGTCATATCCTGCTACCTGAACATTATTTGAAAGGTGCCTCTAGGGGCAAAAAAAAGTTGAAAAACGATTACCCGTCATACAAAATCAGCTATTATAATTGGCCAGCCGAAGGGTTCTATGCGAATCCAGTCCACTGTTTATTTAATACTGTAAAATACTTGACCTATCATACATTGTATATATAAAGAAAAAATAGTTAATAGGTTAAACAACAATCAAATTTAGGCCACACATTTCTTTTTTACTTTTAAACTTTTATTTTATTCCAAAGATTAAAATACGAAATCCAAAGGAAAAAGAATTGAACAAAAAAAAACACTAGATAATAACATTACATCATCATCATTTTTTAATGACCCCATAATCCCTTGCGGGGTGGAGTCTGGGCAACTGAATGGAGCTAGCAAAGTGTTTAATGGCCGGATACCCTTCCTGTTGCCAGAGCAGAGATTTGTTCAGCAGATATATTCTCATTGTGTCCAGAGAGAAATATCTGCCTCTACCTAGGTTCAAACTCATGGCCTCCTGATTGTGAGGTGAGAGGCCTCTAGGCCACCGCACCACTGTAGATAAGAACGTTACATAAAGTTAATTAAAAGGACAAAAATAACCCCAAAACACATACTATCTTCCCTGGATGAATATTGACAAATATATTGCAGCAATAATAACTCTTCTCCCCCACCTTGCAAAGCAGGTCCAAAATTTATAAATTTCTACATCTATTTGCAATCCAATTTCACCTGTCATCCATTGTATATATGAAGAAATAATAGTCAAGAGATTAAACAACAAGAAGATTCGGACCACACATTTCTTACAAATTGCTCAAAGATTAGACCAGCTCAACCTTAGCAACTTTTAACATAGATGGACTTCAACTTCCAGAATTCCCCAGCCAGCCAGGTTTGAGAAACACTGGTTTAGCATGTAAGCCTCTTTAATCTCTTCCCTTTTTATACACCTACCAACAATGCTGTGAACTAATTAGACCATCCCAGAGACGAACGTCTACTCTAATGTTGTAAAATTGTGCACCATATGTGTTCTACTTCATGAGATGCTGCTGTTGGAAGAAATATCCATCTGGTTCAGTTCTAAGCTGGGAGAAAGGCACTGGAGACAAAATAGAGGAGGAGGGGCTGATTGGAAAGATGGTTTAATGATGAAGCAGAAGCACATAGGTGTTTCTGGGCAGCTGAACACATGGAGTTGAGGAGGGGTATTTATACCTTCTTTTGGGCTTTGTACTTGAGCTTCCTGTTCCTGTGCAAGAACATGTATTCCATTGGCTGTCTTCAGATTTCCATGGGGCCATGTAGGGGTCATAACTGGATCTATAGGCAAAGTACAAATCCTAGGTGTTTGTCTGAGTGCCCAGGTTTGGTTGAAGTTTGCTGGGGGAGGGTGCAACTGAGATGATTCAATGAAGGGGCTAAGTGTTCTGAAAGAGCATTGATCAATTCTTATTATGGCTTAATGGCAGGGTGGATAAAAATAGATGACTTAAAAAAACAGTTTTTTTAAATTTAAATGGGATTTTTTTATTTAAATTGGATTTTTTTAAAATCAAATTTATTTTAATAAAATGCTTTTGGAGTAAAAATTTATCTAAGGATAGTTTTATATTTAAGATACATGAATAATTTAGTTTATTTAGCATGAAATGGAGCTTAGTTATGTAGCATGAGGCTGTATATGCTGCAATATTTACATTTTTGGTAAACTCATCCAATGAATCCAAGCCCTGCAAGCTAAATAGGAAACCTTCATTTTAGTCTGCAAATAATAATATTAAAGATTCTAACTACCAGCAAGAATGAGTCCTTATATTTAAAGAGCACCTGTCATCATGGAAGAACCTGTTAGCGGGCATCCACTCACCTGCTGCCCACCACGTTTCCTCACCTTGTGTCAATGCTGCATTACCAGACGTCCCATTAAAGTGAATGGGACTGTCGGTAAATCAACAGTGAGTCAGAGGAGGAGCCACTGTGGGACAGAGATGACAGCTGCTCTTTAAAAATTATGGTTTAAATTGACTTGATTTAAATCAAGCCTTTTTACTAGTGATTTAAATCGACTTGATTTAAATCAAATTCACTCCACTTAATGGCTTTGTCCTGGTTTGGAGGTTGAGCGAGGGTATTATGCTTATGAATAGAGCTGTCAAATAGATGGGGGAGAAACGGAGGTAGTGACAGATTTTATTTTCCTGGGCTCCAAGATCACCGCAGATGGGGACTGCAGCCAAGAAATTAAAAGACACTTGCTCCTGGGGAGGAAAGCTATGGCAAATCTAGAAGCATACTAAAAAGCAGAGACATCACCCTGTCAACAAAAGTGTGTATAGTCAAGGGTATGGTTTTCCCAGCTACAATATATGGCTGTGAAAGTTGCACCCTAAGAAAGGCTGAGGGCCAAAGAATTGAGGCCTTTGAGGCCTTTGAACTATGATGCTGGAGAAGACTCCTGCAAGTTCCTTGGACTTCGATCAAACTGGTCAGTCCTAGAGGAGATCAAACCTGACCGCTGTTTAGAAGGCCAGGTCCTGATGATGAAACTCAAATACTTTGGCCACCTAATGAGAAGGAAGGACTAAGGAGAAGAGCCTAATGCTGGGAACGATTGAGGGGCCACAGAAGAAAGGGACGGCAGAGAAAAGAGGTGGCTGGATGGAATCACTGAAGTAGTAGGCGTGAGCTTAAATGGACTCCGGAGGGATGGTAGAGGACAGGAAGGCCTGGAGGAATGTTGTCCATGTGGTTGCGATGGGTCAGACACAACTTGGTAACTAACAACCAGAAAGAGCTGTCTATCTCTTTAACTCTTAAGTGCTGACATCTGCTGTGGGCTATCAAGGAGGGTGGAGGCTGCTTTCTGTCTCTTTAAGAGCACGTTTCTCCATTTCTCATCCAGGGGAATATAATATTCTGCCTTTTTAAATATTTCCCAAAATATTTCATTCTTCTAGAAGAGGAGTGGGTGCTAACTTTCTACATTGCAATGGTCATAAGTGTGAAAAACGGCCATAAGTCATTCCCCACCCTCTGCGCCCCTGTAACTTCAAACGGCCACTAACTGAATGATTGTAAGTTGAGGATTAGTTGTGTCCCTTTCTGCAAACTCAGTGTAACCTGAACTCAGTGTGGCTTTTAGAAGGAAAAATACAGGGTGTTGGGTGAATCTGAGCAGAGACATTAAAGAATGTGTCTCACAAGGTTGGAAGGAAAAGAGCACTTTTGAATTTCTCTGGTTCACGTTGAGTTCAGCATCTTCAAGTAATTGAAATCTTGGCAATCAAATAATGTGTTTTAACTTCCTGCACACTAAATAGCAAAGCATTTGAAATATTTGGGGAATTTTTCTAAACCTGCCTTCCTGGGCTTGCTAGAAGAAGAAATGGATAGATCTAAAAACAGTGCTCTGATTTCCCCCTCTTGTTTTCTCATTTTGAATTCCCTTATCTAATTCCTCTGTTGCCGTGCTGTTTGCAGGGAAGCTCCTGGTTCTGACTGCTGCCACAGAGAAAACAGAGGGCTACCGGCGCTTTCTACGTACCACAAAATATTTCAACTACACTGTCAAGGTGTGTACTTTCTATATTATTGAAAAAAAGAGAAGGGGAGGATGGGAACATCGCCTACTAGAAGGGTTAATCTGAGCTCTGCTATTTCTGCCTTTTTGCAATCTGTAGGGTACTTTTGGAGAACAAGTCAAAGAAAGTTAGCCTATGGATTCCACAGTGGCTGAGAATTCTGGGAGTTGTAGTCCTGAAACATCTAGGTCACCTCAAGCACAGTATGGTTGGTAGATGGGTGGAAAATTCAGCATTTTAGGAGAAGCCGCTGTGTGACCTGTCATGTTCCTGAACAGGAGCATCTGAATTTCAAACTTAGAAGACAAATTTTTTTTAGAAGAAATTTTTTTAAAAAATAAAATGGCATCTAAAAGAATTGGGATCCTGGAGGACTTCCAGTCCAACCTCTTGCTCAAGCAGGAAACCCTGTACCATTTCAGACAAAGCGTTGTCCAGTCCCTTTTAAAAAACCTCCAGTGTTGGAACACCCACAATTTCTAAAGGCAAGCAATTCCACTGATTAATTGTTTTCACTGTCAGGAAATTTCTTCTTAGTTCTAGGTTGATTCTCTCCTGGATTAGTTTCCACCCATTGCTTTTTTTCTGGCCTTCAGATGCTTTGGAGATTAGGTTGACTCTCTTTTCCTTGTGGCAGCCCCTCCCTCACCTGTCTCACCAGTTGTCCTAACGTTTCTTCAAGACTTTAGGGCTCGGTGAAGATTGGAAAGGAGGTGATGTTGCTCGGACAGTCGGCGGAGGTCAGAAGGTCCGATGGCTGAAGGCTGAAATGAAGAAATACGCAAATGAAGAGGATCTTATTGTCATGTTTGTGGACAGGTAAGGCTGATCAATCTTGGGTTGGATCCATAAGAGGAGAATGTGCGAGGTGATGTTCTCATGTTAGCCAAATCTGGATCTAGGTTTTGCCTCGGCTAATTTTTTCTAATAAGCAACTGAGCCAGAAGAGCATTTAAAAGCAATTTATTAGAATAGCCTGATAAAAATTTGTCTCCCTATGAAAAGGGGAACGCGTAAACTTGGCTTACATTTACCCTTATAAGAAGCCCAATAATGAACCTCAGAGTAAAAGTTGTTTGGTTTAAAATTAATAATCTCCCTAGTTACAACACCAGAATTAAAGCATCCAATATTATGTGAGCATAGCCATGGAAAAGAGCATTATATTTTGAATAAAAGTGAAAGAAACATTTGCAAAGGAAAAATGTCAGAATGGGTACCGGTAAGACACTTCCTCAGCGCTTGAATATTTGTTTTGCTGAACAGCTGAAAACAAAACTTTTATCTACAACATATTGAATGCTCTCCTGCCAGTCCTGGTTTCTAAGATGGAGGCTTTTCTGGAAGATTACCGCTTATTGTGGAAAATTAGTAGCAATACATCTGAAAAAGCAAATTTAAAACACAAGAAAACCCATGTTGGTTAGCCAATGCAACACTACAACAAAAACCATATTGCAACTATTACAAAGTCCACCTTGTGTGGCCTACAAGCCACAGCCCATAAGTTGAAATTGGCCCAGGGTGGGTTCTCCATCTGCCTGTCCCAGCCATTCCCTTGATTTCTAAAGAGGAACCCATTGTTTCAAGCACTGACTCAAAACACGCCTTCTTTCCACCCTAGCTATGATGTGATCCTGGCTGGAAGTCCAATTGAACTTCTTTGGAAATTCCTGCAGTTTAAGAGCAACCTGGTCTTTTCAGCAGAAATTTTCTGCTGGCCGGAATGGTCCCTGGCTGAAAAGTACCCACCGGTCACCTTTGGGAAGCGCTTCTTAAACTCTGGAGGTAAAGGGCTCAGGGTGCCGTGGGGTGAGGGTGGAATCAGGGCCATTCCCAACTCCATGCAAGGAAGACCCTGTTTCGTGCCAATACGGATGTGGTGGGGTTTAAATTCTGGGAACTGAAGGACACGTTTTGAAATAGTACAGATATTCTTCAACTTACCACCACAATTTCTGTTGCTAAGCGAGATGATGGTTAAGTAAGTTTTGCCCGGCAACCGTAGTTAAATACATGCCAGTTGCTAAGTGTCCAAATTTGGATCATGTGACTGCAGGCATGACGCACCAGTCATTAGTGCGGGGAAAAGTTCATACAACACTTTTTTCAGTGCCATTGTAACTTCAGTCTCTAAGCCAATGGTTATAAGTCAAGGACTACCTGTATTGACTTTAGCAAGAACTTGGAGAAAGTGGATAGGTACAACAGTTAGCCATAGCTGTGTAAGTCTAGCAGAAGGTACAGCAATAGAAGCTATTGTTTGATTTCTGCAAATTATTACAGGTAGTAATAATAACTATTATTATAATCATAATAGTAACGCGAAGCGTGCTCTCAGAAACAGTAGGAAAAAATTTGGAAACCCACCCCTGATAATGAACCCAAACACACCTCCAAAACGACCACTGCCTTACTAAGCTGAGGGTAAAGGTGATGGAATGGCCAAGCATGTCTCCAGACCTAAACCCTATTGAGCATCTGTGGGGTATCCTGAAACGGAAGGTGGAGGAGCGCAAGGTCTCTTAAGTGCAAGTGGAAGAGGATTCCAGTGGCAACCTGTGAAGCTCTGATGAACTCTATGCCCAAGAGGGTTAAAGCAGTACTGTAAAATAATGGTGGTCACAAAATATGGACACTTTGCACTTAATATTCACTTTTATTGCCAGGGGTTTAGACATTAATGGCTGTTTGTTGCGCATTTACACTGTTATATAAGCTGTATACTCACTACTTTACATTATACCATGTGTCATTTCTTCAGTGTTGTCACATGAAAAGATCAACTTAAATATTTACAACGTGTGTGTGTGTGTGGGGGGGGCGTACTCACTTCTGTGGGATACTGTAGCAACAACTTTGTTTAATGACTTGCCACTCTCAATTGTAGTCGCAAAATGAGGACTACCTATAAATCAAAGGAACAATTTGTGTGTGAACAAGCTTCTTGGAAAACCTTCAAGGTTCATTCTGCATCTCTTACAATTCCTGCCATCATTTTTCAAGCCGAGGCCACCATTTACCTTTTGGATACTTGCAAGATTGTATAGGCAGCCATATGGTCTAGAAACTTGTAGTTGCTGTTCTTTTTTAAGCAGTGGTTCTCTCAGCACACTAAATTGTTCATCTTCAGTGCCAGATTGTGGGATGGTATAGCAATCCAGCCTGGATAGAGAATACCAAATGCCCTGGAGAATTCCTTAGCTCTGATTTCCTCTGGTGTGTATCAAAAAAGGCAATTTTTATGTCTCAGCTTGTCATGGACAGGCTAATCACTGTATTGATCAGGGGTATCAAACTGAATTTCTTCAAGGGCCAGATCAGCATTGTAGTTCTCCTCCGCAGGCCGGACAGGGGGGTCAGGGAAGGAAGGGAGACAGGATGGGTGCCTCCTGCAGCACCCTGCCGGCCAAAATGGGGCACAGGGGGGCCATGCGTGGCCCCCACAAGCCCTGTTTTGGCCTGGGCTGCCTCCTGCAGTGCCCTGCTGGCCAAAATGGGGCACCATGGTCCAGTCCTTTGCTATTTCCAGGCCGGCTCCATGGACCAGATTGAAGCAGTCCCCAGGCTGGATTTGGCCGGCGGGCCTTGAGTTTGACACCCCTGATCTTGATAGATCACAAGTAATTCTAGATCAGGCGAGATTACTAAAAAGCACCTGATGATTTAGTGAGCCGGCAATTTTGTGAGCTAAATCCCAATCTTCTCCAAACCTAGAAGTGTAGTATTTTATAAGCACTTGTTTAAGATTTTTTTAAAAAAAAGTTTACTAGTTTCAAGTCCTTAGCACTACTACCCTGTTACGCAGCATCTAAAAACACATTGCATTTCTGCTTTCCAGGATTCATTGGCTATGCCCCTGTGATCAACCGCATTGTCCAGTTGTGGAAGTACAAGGATGATGATGATGACCAGTTGTTTTACACACGCATTTACTTGGATCCTGCCTTGCGTGTGAGTGCTGGGAGTAACTGCCTTGTGTGGTTTTTGTAGTCACTTCTTACAGTCTGCCTCTGTTAAAACATATTTGGGCTTCATTCCCCACTTGCTAAAATGGCTTATGCACCTCTGACATCGCCACTCCAACAGGGCTGTTTCCACAGAGGGCTTTACTATATCCATGCAGGGGCTGGAACTGGCTTAAAATTGTCCTAGTCTTGCTTAAAGTTCAGCCAAACCCCACCAGTTTCCCTCCTTTTTCAACTCTAACCTCCAGCATATTGAGAAAAAGAGAAAGAGCGGCTGGTGGAAAAGGGCTGCTGTAGGATGGAACTCATTGTCAAAGCAATACAGATCACCCTGCCCACATTCTGGTCAACTGCAGGGGCTGAGCCATGTTTACTGTGCCTTCCTGGCCAATGGGGAAGAAGCTAGTGATGTCATAAGTCTTGCCACTACTCTGGTATATGAGAAGTCATGGGATATTCAATTCTTGCTGGAGAGGTCAGGAAGGGAACTCAGTTGCTTAGCAACCATTAAGATAGCAGGAATTGAATGTCCCACGAATCCTCCTATAGCAGGGTGGGCAGGGTGACCTGTATTCCTTTGACAATGAGTTTCATCCTAGAGCGGCCCTTTTCCCCCAGCCGCTCTTTCTCTTCTCAATATGTTGGAGGTTAGAAATGAAAAGGTCCTAAGTACTAGACCCAGTTCAGAAGTTTCAATGGATTTCCCCCCCCCCCCCGCAGTCACATGACCAGATTTTAGGCACTTTAGTGGCTGTTTGCAAGGTCCCGTGATCACATGACCATATTTTAATGTGTTTTCGGCAGGGCGGGGGGGAATCACATTTACTTCTAGTTTTTAGCAAAATTTGTCCACAACGAACAATTGGTTCACTTAATAACTGCAGGATTCGCTTAATAACTGCCCCCACCAAAAAAAAGGCTGTAAAATCAGGTTGGTTATAAAGCAGGGGTGACCTGCTTTATAACCATCATGACTTAGGGTCATAATGGGCAGGCTCCATTACAATTGTAAGTTGAGGATTTCCTGTATTCTCCCATGAGCTGTTCAGAGCAACCAGGAGTGGGAGGTGCTTCAGTCTCTGCATGTCTAGGCTGGGCTTTATTTGTGGAACGCTCCTCCTCCTCCATGGGACTCCTCCCCAGCGTTCCCCAGTTTTGGTTCAGCCTCATGAGAGATAGGCAGTGCTTGTGATTCTTCCTTGGCCGAAACAGGAAAAATTCTTTCCTTGCTAGCAGGTTTGAAAGTTAATCAGCTTGTCTTTAGAATCCTTTAGCCTTCTAATCGCATTGCGATCTCTCGACGTTGGCTCCTTATCGGGCAGTCAGAGATCGCTCGCATTACAGGGAAGCGCCAATTCGTGCTCCAAAGCGGTGGGAGGCTTTGGCGCTGCTCCGCGCCCCCTCCCCACAACCGCTCTTTCTAACCCTGCCATTCTGACAGATAGCCGCAGAGTTTCTTTTACCCGAACAGCGGCGTGAGCTCTTTGCTCACTACGGAGTCATATCGCTTTCCTTCCCCCTCTGAACGGCACGGGTGGAGGATTCAAACGCTTAGTGCCTTCCACCCTTCCCCGCCGTTTAGCCTTATAGGAAGAGCCATTGGAGGCTATTCCTTCAAACGGCGGGAGTTTGCTGCTGGGGAGCGGGCCAAAAGATTAACGGCCGGAGGCCATCTTTTTTTACTAAGACCTCATGGCCGCGCCGACTGTATTCCATTTCGTGCTGTGTGAGGTAACTCTGTCCCAAGCAGAGGTTCCCTTCAGGAACACTGGGAATCATTATACCCTCGTCTTGGTTTTTTTCTACATTCGAGGCTATTCCTACAGTTAATTTGTTGGCTAAACCCTCACAGCCCAATCAACCCAGCGGCACAACAGTGAGCACCTAGGCCTGTGTCCGCCTGTGCAGGGAAGCTGTTGAAGGCCTCTTGGTTCGGGTATTTTCCCACGTCATTGTAGTTGTTCTTTTAAAGTTGTAGCAACATTTCAGCAGAATCTCATCTGCCATCATCAGGCTTCTGTATAGTGTTTGTCTGTGAGTCAGACTTTTACAAGGCCTCCAATAAAGTAACACAATGCTGCCAGCCAATCAAGATACAAAAAGAGCCAAAAAACAGACAGAAGATATTAGAGACACCAATCAAGCAGAACACAGCAAACTCTGAGACCAATAAACACAGACCAAGACTCCCAACCAATCAGGATGAAGAAAAAACCATTCTGGCACAGCAATAGGCTGCCCCAAATTTAAATCTGAAACCACTGTAAAAGTCTGACTCACAGACAAACACTATACAGAAGCCTGATGATTTCGGGTTTTCTTCCGCGTAAGATTGGAAGTATCTAGGCAACTTTTCGATGAAGTCTCATTCATCATCTTCAGGCTTCTGTCTTCAGCTCTGTGCTTCTCAGAGTGATGTGAGCTTGCAGCTGCTTCTTCCTTTTAACTGCTAGTGGGGGTGTGACTTGATTGGGTGGGGGCTTGGCTGTGTTCTGATTGGGTGGGGGTGTGTTCTCATTGGTTGGGGGTTTGGCTGTGTTCTGATTGGTTGGGGGGTTGGCCATGTTCTGATTGGCTGGAGGTGTGTTCTGTTCAGGTGGGGGCTTGGTTGTGCTCAGGTTGGTCAGTTACTGGGGGATTTGAGCTGGTGAGCTGTGATCTTGCTGTTTGGCTTCGAGTTCGTGGTCGTGCTGCATCTTCATGGTGGGGGTCAGTTCGCTTCATGTATGGCTCAGAGGGGTTTGAAGTGGATAGTGATGCAGCTGCAGTGCGGCTTCTGGTCTGTGGTCGTGTCTCATCTTCTGTGTGGGTGTGAGTCTGCTTTTTACGTGGAAGTGTGGTGGTGGCATCTTGTGTGGCCCTCGTGGGTGTGGGTCTGGTGTCATTCATCATGTTAGGTACTCGTCTGTTCATGAGGGCGGGTTTCCAAATGGCTGGTAAGCGGGAGGTGTCATCTCTTTTATTCATGCTGTGTGGGCGTTTTTCTATCTCTATGGCTTCTCTGATTATTCTGTTGTTGAAGTGTTCGGTTTTGGCGATAGTTTTGGTATTTTTAAAGTCAATCTCAGGTCCTGTGGCTTTGAGGTGTTGGACCAGGGAAGAGGTCGGTTCTTCTTTTTTGATTGAGTTCTTATGTTCTTCAACGCGTGCACTTATTCTTCTGTTAGTTTGTCCAATGTATGTGGTGGGGCAGGCAGTGCAAGGGATTTCGTATACTCCTTGGTTTTCTAACTCGATTTTGTCTTTAGGGTTTCTTAGGATGGTGGATATTTTTCTGTTTGTGCAGAATGCTGTTTTAATGTTGTGTTTTTGGAGGATCTTGCTGATTTTGTCTGTAGTGCCTTTTATATATGGGAGGAGGGCTTTGCCGTTCTCTTGTTCTCTGTCTTGGATTTTGGTTGGGGTTTCTTTTTGGATTAGGTGGGTAATCTTCTTTCTTTGGAATCCATTGGCTGTTAGTACATTGGTGAGAGTGTTTAGTTCGGTTTTTAGGTGTTGTTCATCAGCTAAGCATTTTGTTCTGGAGATGAGTGTCTCCGCTACGGAATTGATCTGTGCTGGGTGGTGGTGTGAGAGTGCATGTAGATAGCGGTTTGTATGTGTTTTCTTCTGGTAGATGGTGTGTCCTAGGGAGCCATTGGGTTTTTTGTATACCAAGACATCTAGGAAGGGAAGTTGATTGTTAGCTTCTGTTTCCATGGTGAATTGTATTTTGGGGTGTAGGCTGTTGAGGTGTGTGAGGAAGTTGTTCAGTTTTTCTTTCCCGTGTGGCCAGATTATGAAGGTGTCATCTACGTATCTGAGCCAGAGTTTGGGTTTGTGATCATATTTTTCTAGAGCTTGTGTTTCAAAGTGTTCCATGTAGAGGTTTGCGATGACAGGTGAGAGGGGTGATCCCATGGGTGCTCCTTCTATTTGTTTGTATTTTTGTCCGTTGTAGGTGAAGTATGTATTGGATAGACAGTGGTTGGTCAGATCTAGGATGTGCTGGGGGGGGTTGTATTTGTTTTGGATGGCTGTCAAGGCTTCTTTTATTGGCACTTGGGTGAAGAGGGATATGACATCGAAGCTCACTAGTAGGTCGCTGGGTTGTAAGTTTTGTTTCTTTATGATCTCGATGAACTGGAATGAATTTCTTACATGTGAGTTGATGGATTCTGCATAGGGCTGTAGTTGTTTGGCAAGAAATTTGGCTAGGTTTTGTAGAGGTGAGCCTATGGAGCTGACTATTGGTCTAAGTGGAGTTCCTTCTTTGTGTATCTTGGGGAGACCATAAAGCTTAGGGCATCTGGATGATTTCTCTCTGGGTATGATTCTTTGCTGGATTTCTTCACTGGGGGAGGCTTTTATTTTGGATCTGGTGGTTTTTTCTAGGTAGGTGGTGGGGTCTGTCTTTAGAGGTTTGTATGTGGGGTCTAGGAGTAGGTTGGTTAACTTGGTTTGGTAGTCAGATGTGTTCATAACCACTGTCGCGTTGCCCTTGTCTGCTGGTAGGATTATTATGCTGGTGTCTTCTTTCAGGTTACGTAGTGCAGTTTGTTCTTCTTTGGATAAGTTGCTTTTGGGTGGTTTGCTAGTGTAGAGGATGTTGGTAATTTCGAGTCTGATTCTCAGCTGACGCAACTTATCATGTCAAGTTTTCAGACAGGGCCATTACTTCACATGTCACAGCGAGATGCTTACTATGGTTAAAACATTGGCAAGCGGACTTTAAGCACAAATGCAAGCTGGCTTCATCTCCTATTGTGGGAGACAGACTGTTTGACCCTTCCCTTGATCCGCTACTAATTGAAACCCGAAACAAAAAGAAAATTCTTCCTTCTCTTTTTCGGAAGTCAGATTCTAGAAACCCTCAGTCCTTTCAGAGGGGATCCTTTCGGCCCTTTTACCAGGGACCCTTTTCACCCAGATACCAGAGACCCCCCATCATTCAGACCAGGGCAGCAGCCAGACAGGTCTGACTTCGGGGATAGGAGCAGACGGGGTGGTCAATCCAAGAGATCCTTTCAGGGAGCAGGAAACAGGTCCTTTTGGCGTCCAAGATAACTCCCTGGACCCGACCCCCATTGGCAGATGCCTTAAATTATTCGTGGACCAATGGGACTCCTCAACCTTTGATTCCTGGGTCAGAGATATGATCAGATTTGGCCTTGCGCTGGAGTTTCAATCCACTCCCCCAGATTTTTTCATGTCATGCCCTCTCTCCAGAGATCCGGTTAAACGTAATCTCATGGAAACAGCTATCCAACACCTACTGGACATATGAGCCATCCAACCAGTAGCCACCAACCAATGAGGGCAAGGTTTCTATTCACGTTCGGGGGGGTGGAGAGCAATATTGGATCTGAAACATCTCAACCGTTTCTTAGTATATCGCAAGTTTAAAATGCACACCCTGCAATCTATCTTACTTTGCATCAGAAAGGGTGACGTCCTCACGTCCATAGACCTGATGGAGGCGTACCTACATATTGCTATTCGGCCTTCCCACTATAAATTTCTGAGATTCTGTTATAATAACCACCATTTCGAATATGTGGCCCTTTCTTTTGGCCTAGCTTCTGCCCCCAGGACCTTCACGAACATTCTCGCAGCGCTAGCTGCTCATCTCCGTGATATCCCCATACGACTCCAGTGTTATCTTGATGACATATTGATTTTGTCATCTTCCTATCATCAAGCAGTCAGAGATACTCAGGACACATTACAATCCCTACAACAACACAGGTTCTCAGTAAATTGGAAAAAGAGTCATTTAATACCATCGACTCGGTTAACCCATCTGGGGGCAGTCATAGATACGGTGGAAGGCAAAGTTTACCTGTCACCAGATAGACTAAATAGCATT